GCCACTGAAGCCTGAGTGAGCTCCAAGGTATACACAGTGGCTTCTGGTTGACGTGGAGGATTTTCACCCAGGAACCAGTCTGATGAACTTTCCCTTGGGCTCCCAGTTCAGTCTTTCTCCTGCCTCACCTTCACTTCCAAAACAGAAGAGGAGAACAGCTGGCCTCCATGAACATCAGAAGTCACATCTCTTCAGGGTCACTTTGGAGAGTGGTCTGGCTATTGCTGCTGGCACTCACCTGACCCAGCCTCTGTCACTTTGATGGTGGAAACTCCTGGCTCAGGGCCCTATCTGAGGATGGCAGCCCACAGAAAAACCCAGCCGTCTCTTCCCACAGGGAGTCAGCTGCCTCTGTGCAAATAGATAAGAAAATAAATGTGGCAGACTCCTGGGCAAAGAGTCCCAGATTACCAGGCACCCAGTGAATAAGTATGAAAGAATGCCCTAGACCACACACTTTAAAAAGAAACAAAAAACAGAAAACAGATCGTGCCTACGTAGACATGCAGGTAATCTTCTCTAGAACATTCTCCTTTCCTCTTCTTGTCATTTAAACACCAACAGCTCCTGATTCACATGTCTGCGTGCTTACATTTAGATCCAGTAAACTGGCCTTTCTACCTACCCACTCTAGATAAAGAACAGCAGTCTGTAACGTGAAACTGGAAAGTAGTTTACACTTCCACAATTCCCAGTCTATTATCCCAACCTCTGTAGGCATTTAAGCATGGGTTTTTCTTCGTTTTTTGAGATCCAGACCTGCCTTCTGTTAATCATCAGCCTATGTGTTAAAACCAATTCAATAATTAAAAGCATTGGGAATTTTGTACATCTCTGTTTTTCCTTCACTAATTGAAAACCTGAGAGCACATCTATTAGAGAAACTCGCAGAACCAGCCCCAAACTGGTTTTCTTAAGAGAGGTGGGACCAAAAGGATGACACCAAGGGAGAGTAACTAAAATGGTAACTGACCGGAACCTTGAACCAAAACTCTTAAATAATCTAACCTCAGTTTTGTTAGAGGTTTACAAGTGTTTGGTTAGGTTTTTAAATATTTTTTCCCAAGAGGTCCTAAGTTTCTGTGGTGTTAAATCCAATGAAAAGGGTTGTTGTAGTTATTGTCCAGCCTAAACCAAACTGTGAAGAACCAGTAACCTCGTGCAAGCATCTTGCCTCTACCTCATTTCAAATGTGCAAGTCCCAGGAACTTCAAAGGAAAGAAGAGAGAAGATAAACGTGGGACTTCTGCATTAAGGCCAACCAATAAGGGGAGAAATAAGAAAACAGTAAAAAAAAAAAAAAAAAAAAAAAAAAAAAAAAAAAAAAAAAGAAAAAAGAGGCAGGTGAGATGGCTCAGTGGGTAAAGGCACAGAGTCAGAAAGCCTCGAGTTCCCCTGAAACTGGAGTTTCAGACAAAAAGTTTTGTTGAGTTGTTAGCCGCCACGTGGGTGCTGGAAATCAAACCCAGGTCCTCTGCAAGAGCAGTCAGTGTTCTTAAGCCCTGAACTATCTCTCCAGCCTCCTCATCTTTTTTTTTTTTTATAAAAGCTTTAGCATGTGGCCAGCAATCAGGTACCTCCTACGAAATCTTTAAGTCTGTGGTTTCAACTCCAAATCTCCCTAGGCTGAAAACTAAGCTCTTCTGCAGGTTTTTTGACCTACATTATGAATAGTTAGTAAAAGTAAATTCAACAATCACATGCATATTAACAACCCTCTGGAGTATATCTTGTTTGTTTGTTCATTGTTTGCTTTTCAGAGTTCCAGGAGGGCCATATCAGCTGACAGGAGTTTAATAGAGTATCATCATGGGTTAAAAATGAAAATTACAGGCAGATAATTATCTTTGGTTTATGGTTACACAAACATATGCAGCCAGTACATTTTTTTTAATCATATGGCAGTGTGTACAAAATAGCAAAGATCCAAACTGACTTCCTTTTCCTTCCAAGAGAAGTCAGTCTCCTGCTCAGGAAACCAGGCTTTCACTAAGTCCTGCTAAGGGTATTTGTCCACATTTTGATTTTGTGATTATTTTTTACAAGTTAGACATGAAAGAATAAATAGAGACCATTACAAGTTACAGGACACATCCCATTTGCTGCATCACATAGAACACAAAATGATGCATGTTCAGGTCTTGAGCAGCCTCTATCCTTACTTTCCTGCATCACATTCCTGTTGGTGTGTTATACATCAATCACTTTCACAACTAGTTATGTGTTTCTCTACTAAGGCAAATGGTGGTCCCAGGTCACCTCACTCAGTATACTACCAAATTATCACCGAATTTTCCACTTCAAATATGTATATGTGTGTGTGCGTGTATGTGTGCGTGTGTGTGTGTGTATGCGTGTGTGTTTGTGTGTGTGTGTGTGTGTGTGTGTGTGTGTAAAGGAGCTTTCAGCTCCTTTTGTTGAGTTTTGCAATGTAGAGTTTAAAAATATTCAGAAGGTTTTTAAAAATATTTTATTACTTTTATTTTATGTATATGAGTGTATTGTCTGCAGGTGTGTAAGTGCACCCATGTCATTCAGTGTCCTCAGAGGTCAGAAGAGGGTGTTGGATCCCTTGGAACTGGAGTTATGAACAGTTGTTATCCACCATGTGGGTGCTGGGAATTGAGCCTGGGTCCTCTGTAAGAGCAGTCAGTGCTCTTAACTGCTGAGCCATCTCTCCAGCCCCCTCAGAAGCTATTTTTTATAACACAATCCAGTTTAAAAGCCATAAGCGAAAGCCAGATTCAACTGTCAAGCACCATCTTAGAGATTTCCTTCTTGAATGCAACTAGACAATGCTAATTATGGCAGAAAAAGACACATGCTTTGCGCACGTAAAGAATCTGAAAGTTTTTGTTCGCAGAAAAGCCACATGCCTTTACATGACTAAATATGTCTATATTTATTTACATTTTAAAAATTGAAAGTGCCTGAAAAAGAATCTGATGAGAAATGATGAAAGTTGCAAAAACTCGTGGGGAAAAATGTATTTGGAGACTCAAGATGGTCTTGATTTTACCCTGAGAATTTCCCACAATAGTTTTATATCTATGTATCAGAGCTCCAGACTGATGATTCTAAAAGACCCTGCCTGATAAGGCTGCCTGAGCCTTCATGTGATGTGGGATGCAAGGGGCAGGGGGCGGGGGCGGGGCTACATCACAAGATTATGGTAAAAACCAGTCTTTTTTTTTCTAGGTGGTGCAGTGATGTTGCTGGCTTATGAATACACCTATGCATGGCTGCAGGCAAACTGGTGATTGCCTGAGAAATGTTGTCCCCTTAACAGAATTTTTTTTTTCTTGCAATCCCATGAAGAGGACATGCCCAGCTAAACGAGGCATACATCTAATGGGGGTAGGATAGCTTACTCAAAAGCAAAGCCTATTTTGATGCTTTAGAAATTTTTAGGCAAGTTGATATGTAGTTTGGGCCATTGACATAATGCTGTGAGAAGAATACTAAGAAGCAATGAAGTGTATAAGTTGAATAATAAGATAGACAGCAGAGAAATTTCATAAAAGCTCTACAGACTTTGTATCTTATACTGCTTCACAATGAAAATTCATTGCAATAACGTTTCCTACACAATCTAGAATACTTAAATTCTTTAAAATAAATTATTCTGTGGCTAATTCCTTGAAAATTATTCAAAAAAGACTGATTTTTTTAAAAAGATAAGCCAGAATTTAAAGTTTTGATAAGGAATTGATTTTTCCATAAATCATATTTTAAAAGAGCAGAAAAGGGAAAAATGTATTCCAAAATAGCTTTTTAAGAATGCTTGATTTTGCAGGGTGTGGTGGCGTACCCCTTTGATCCCAGCACTTGGGAGGCAGGGGCAGGCAGATCTCTGTGTGTGAGTTCAAGGCCAGCCTCATCTACTTAGTGAGTTCCTGGCCAACTGGGGCTACAAAGAGACCATATCTCAAAAAGACAAAAAAAGAAAAGTATGTCTGACTTTGTGAGTGCTCTGTTAAGATGTAATTCTATTTTCCTAAATCTGCTTTATATTCCATGTGTTTGTTTAAAAGTAGTATGTTTAAATCATGCTATCCGAAGTCTTATTACAAATAGAATACATGATATTATATTAAACTGCTTTCCTTTACATAGTTTACCTTGAAGACAAGTTTTATTACTGAAATATTTTTATGTTAAATCACTAACTGGATGTACTCCTGGGGCCCATCTGTGCTGCCTGTATTTGCTTCCAAACTCCTTTGTACCTTACCTGTGCCATTCTTAAAAGGAATGTAGAAGAGTAAAATTGTATTTCCAGATTCTTGGTTTTTAGTGACACCTTTAAGTATGAAATCAACTGTCTTCAATATTAAAATGTGTGTGATAAAAGAAAAAAATGTTTCAAAATAGGAGTGCATTCTTAGCATTTCCAAGGATTCCTGTACTAACATGCACTCTAAAGAAAAATATGTAGCTCTTTGGTCATGACATAACCAAAGTTAGTTTTGTGTCTGCATTCTGAAATGAGGCTGTTCTAGTAGTTAAAGTCAACAAAAATGTCTGCATGTTCTAGATGACACCTGTTCTTAACTACTGCTGTGCGGCCACTTCACTAAAACATTTTGAAAATAAAAGGTAAAGATGACATAGTAATTGTTTGTTTTTATTAATTTAGAGCATTTGAAGTATAAAAATAAAAGGCTTTGACACACTGTATATACACACATAGCCTTCTGATGTACATCTTTTCCAACTCTTTAAAGAATTTATATTTCAGTCCAATATTCAGTATGTATGTGGGTCACACTAAAAACAGAAAGCCAAGAGAAACAAGAATGTGGCTGTGTTGCATGGCTGCATTCTGTCTTTGCAGGTGACATACGCTAGCATCTAGTTAGACGCAGTGCTGCATGCACAGATGCCAGAAAACTGAACCTTCGGCCCCTCCATAAGGACAGGATGGAAAAAAGCTTTCTGAAGACTGCATGTACCAATTTAAAAACAAAAACTTTACCCACCAAAAACTTTACCCTTAAGAGGCAGGAGAAGGTTAGCATTAACAATGAAATTTAAACATCAAGCAGTCTTGACTCTATCCCGTTCCATTCTTCTGCACTTAATGTTTAAAGTGGCTTTCAATCATAACTGACTATGAGTAGCCAACTTTATTTAGGCTTTCTGTTGTCTTTTTAAAATTACTCCATGTGAATGTACTCTTACTAAGAAAGACCTAGAGAGAGAAATGAAAGAAAAAGAAAACTTCGATGCCATTAATATTAGTTTTTTAAGTACAAGAACCAGAAAAAAATTATAAATAACAATAGGATTTCTTAATTTAGATAAGGAAAATAACATTATTAGTTGTGTCTCCATACAAACAATTGATATTTTAACACCCTAAAGGCTACCAGAAAGCACTGGATAAAAATTCTGCACCTTAGGTCAGTTTTTCTAGATGGCAGGAAAGTCCCTATAAGGCACAGTTTTAAAGTCTCTATCAAAATATTGGATTGGATCTTTGTGCCGTTTGGTTTATAGTCTATCTTCTCACCAGACTGGGAACTCCGGATGTCAATGAAGAGTTTTACAAGATCAAAGGAAGACTATGGCCCTGAGAGTTCATCTGCTGCTTCTGCTTATTCCTTTCCTGAAGTTATAATCCTCTGTTTGTGGCAATGAATTTCAGTTTTAGAAATAAATGCAGTTCAAAGCTCTTTATAAGATATCTGCTGTTTGAAAAAGGCAGTTCCTTGAACATGACTTGTGTGTCAGAAATCTGCTTATAGTTTACATCCTCGTGATTCAAAAAACTAGGTGATCTAGCCATTTTGGTTTTAAAAGCCAGGAGACCTTTGTAGCTTGATTGGATTGCTATGTCAGCTGTGCACAGCACAGATACAAAGAAACCAAATCATCCAACAAACACGTCTTCAGACACTTATCTAGAGAGGTGGCTGTTTAGTTATTGCACAGAATTAATATCAAAATATCCCACAGTACATTAATACTCCAATAGCTCAATGGTGCCAATGTACTAAAAATGTATTTTAAGCCTATATTGTCAAGCAGGAAGAACAACTTCCTAAACGGGGGAAAGGGGGTACAAACTAAAGAATTTTGCCCAAGAAAATCAATTGTTTTAAAATAAAACATATAATCACATGCTCTCACATACATACAAACACCACGGTTCTGTTCTTAATGTTAATGTAAAAAATCAATTGGTTTAGAAAGACTTAGCTGTCATTCTCTCTTCTGTCATTCCAGAAATGAATAAAAGGAATTTTCTAAAAATTAAACAGCATTTGTATTTCTAATACCAACACCAGTTTACCTACACGTGAAACATGCTTCGGTATACAATGTAAACTTCACAGCAAGCCATTTTACATTCATTAGAGCAGAATTCTCCATTGCCTTTTTAAGTTACAAGGTAATTTGGGGCTGAGATTGCTGAACACACAGGTAAGCCAACAATAACAGTACAATTTAGTTTCACAGTGGTTTTCATAACATAAAGTTCATTTTAAGTGTCTTTACAAAAACATTTCACATTAAACTTGTTTCTAAGTGACTTCCTTTAGCGCCTTCTTGTACAGATATTTTCCACCCTCTTGTTTTTCTATGCTTGGCATGTGTGTTGTTTGATTAGGATACAAAATAGGAAACTGGCTGGTTTTAATCTGTGTTTTGAGTCCTCTGCTGTTGAAAGTGTCCTTCATGAGTCGCTGAAGCCTTCACTGCACACACACAGTCTGGGGGCAAGTCCAGGTCCAGGAGCCTGAGTGGCCCACCACCAAACAGAGACAAAAACGTTGCCAGAAAGTCACCTTTGCAAAAAAGAAAGAAAAAAAAAAAAATAGAGGTGGTGTTGTGGGAGGGGACTATCCCATGGGATGAAGACACAACTGCACCATCCAGAGTCCGTATTTACAAACTAAAGGAAAATATAAACATTATTGAATTTGGAAACAAGACAAAACACCAAGAGGAGCAACAGTCAGATATTGCTTGGGTGTTATACATATTTTTCCACAAAATAAGTCATCTCTTAAAAATAAACAAAGATCACTTAAGTTACTGATTGGTTTTCCTAATGATGAATTAAGACTTACTTGATCAGAAGGTGGAGCATAACTTTATTTTTCTACATGTGTTTTCCTTTATTGATTTTGCAAAATCTCAACAATTGCACATTTCAAAAGTTCAGGTTGATTTAGAATAAATATCCATGTGTGGTTTTACCAAAGACAAGTCTACAAAGTTCTTTAGCCCTTTGAGGGGAGTAGGTTTCTTCACTACCTTAAAACAGTGTGAGGGCAACACAAATGTCTCATTCAATCCTTAAAGTTGCTTTTGTTTTTAAGTCCTAAAGTTATGTCAGGTTTCCTGCAAGAAAGAACTTATGGCAAGAAATATTTAAGTGTCATCAGCACAAAGAATGTGAGTCCATAAAGCCAGCTCTTGAGGCAGGAGGGCTGGACAGCTGGAGGGTGGGGTATGGAGAAGGGGAGGATGTGCTGAGAAAAGAAGCTGCTGGAAATGGAAGTTCCCATCAGAGTGCAGAGGCAGCGACAGAATGACTACCTTCTCTGGCTGCCTGCATCCCCTTGAAAGCCAGTGATGCAGGAATGTCACAGTTGTGGGGGGATAGTGGGGTGCCGCCAGCATGTTGCCACCCGTGTCCAGCAACATAACCAGAAGGAGCAGCACTGTAGGTCATATAAGGTGACACTTGGGCTGGAGTAGGGTAGGGAGCCATGCTGGATGCGGACACAAAACTGCTCACAGCTGGGAGGCCATTTGGTGCCTAAGTGGAAGAGAGAAATGGAAGAAAGTCACATTACTGTAGTTGACATCTTTCATCTCTCTCTCTCCTCTCTCTCTCTCTCTCGCTCTCTCTCTCTGTTTTCCCTAGAGCTGACCTTAATCTTACTTTGACTAAAAGTCTTGCTACTTAAACAGGCATAATGCTAAAAATCAAGATATTGCTCTTTCCACAAAAGTTTAAGGGAACTACAACCAGTGATTGACAATACTTATTTTTGTGATTCGCAAATACATGAAGGAAAGACAGGGTGAGAAAGGAACTGATGGTGATTAAATACTCTGAGCATCTGCTCAGGAATCCACACTGCCTGCCTCAATTTTCCCAATGCTTTGGCTTTGTTTGGCTCTTTTGTTGAATCTTTGTGACAGGTTTGGTTGATGTAACTCCTTTCCAGTAAAGAAGAGCACATGTGTGGGTTGTTGCCTTAGAAACTCAAAGTGAGAAAAGGTTTTGTTAAATAAAACATGTATCATATTTTAGGATGCCATGTCGAAAATGCCTCTTGGACAAAGGACATGTAAAATCAGGACTTTATCTAGTTTTGCTGATGATTTTCTTGTTGTTGTTTGAGAGGTTGTTTGTTTTGTTTTCTTAATGAAGACTGAGGGGATTATTTAGAGCTATTCTATTAGAAAGGAAGTTTTCTATATAAATATGAATACGTATGCATAATTTTTTGCACCTACAAAGTTTTTGAATTCTTTTAAGCCTTATGGACAAATCTCTCTGAATGAATTTAACTTGCGATCGTTGTTTGCAAACAAAATGCAGCAGTCCTGGAAGGCAGGCCTGCCTACAAACTAGCACTTTCTTGGCATCTGATGAATTGTTGTTGGTATCGTTACTATTAACAACACCAAAAACACCCAGATTTCTAATCCTGCTCTGGCATGAACACTCCCCACCCTTCTTCAAGTGGTTTCTTTTTTCCCCCTCAGTCTCCACACTGTTTAAAGATAAAGAGTAAATCCTGTTTCCTGGTAGTGGCATGATGAGATGAACACGTCAATATATTTCCTACTGAAAATATAATGTAACTACTAGAATTGTATTAGAAAACATGATTTAATCCCTAGAGCTCGGTGAATCAGACACAGGTTAGACGCTTTGTCCAATTCAGTTAAAACAGAAATGGTGTTTTGTTTTGTGGATTCAGGACTAAACGCAGGGCCTTGTACATACTAAGCACACACTCTACCACTGATCTTCTGTCCATCTCCCCCCCACTTCAGAAATGTTTTTCTGATTTAACTCATTTGGTTAGCATTTGCACTTCCATATCTAGGGTAATATTATGGTGCAGTTTCAGAAGCTAGTTGCCAATGTAAAGCAGATACATGTGAGTGTGTGTAATAAAATGTGCCTGTATATATACGTATACACCTATATATGTGGGTGATATGATTTAGTTGATTTCTAACAAAGGTTAACCTTGTATCTTCAGTCTATAAGAATATACATTTTGTGTTCTTCTGCTTGTCGATATATATTCTTTTAAAAAGTTTTGGTTATTTTGTTTTGTTTTCAAGACAGGGTCTCCCTGTAGCCCCAGCCGGCCTGGAACTTGCTATATAGGCCAGGTTGGACTCAGTCTCACAGAGCTCCACCTGCCTCTGCCTTACAAGTACTGGGATTAAAGGTGTGCACCACCATGCCTGGCTTTTTAAAACTATTTTTAATTGTGATGTGTGTGTCTATGTATGTAAGTACAGGTGCCCATGGAGGCCAGAGGCATAAGATCTCCCTGGAACTGCAATTATAATCATTGTGAGCCAGCTGGTGTAGATGCTGGGAACTAAACTTTGCTCGTCTGGATGAACAGTAAGTGCTCTTAACGTCTAAGCCATCTCTCCAGTCTCTGTACGGTCTTTTAAAAATGGAGGTGAAAGGAAAAGAAAGCTCCTTGACTATCTCCTATGTTCCAGGCACCAAGAAATATCCAACGTATTTACAAAATTATGAGGGTTGTAAGCACATCATAAAAGGTAATATATATGAATATAAAGCAATATTCAATTCAAATTTAAATGTATTTTTTAAAGAGGGTCTCATTATGTACCCAGGCTGGCCTCAAACTCCCTGTATAGTCCATGCTGGCTTCAAACTCATGAGCTTCCTGCTTTAGCTTCCCAAGTGCTGACATCACAGGTATAAACCCCTATACCCACATGAAATTAAAATGTATTTCAAAGGGCCCCCCAAATGATACTGTCTTGTTAAACAAAATACAAAACAACTAATGAAGAAATAATGTCATAACACTGTTCAATAAGACTGAAATTCTATCTTCTTTTCCTATACAAGGTTACATAGATAGAAATATGTATCCATTTACCAAAGGCTGTTTAGAAAGTTGATGGTCATATATTTAAAGACCTGATCACCCGTCTCTGATACAAGGTTTCCTGTGGCATATTGTGCTTTTCCTAGACAGTCAGAAAGTGGATGTAATTTAATCTCAAACTAGAGCGCCTTTTGAGAGAGCTAGTAAAAGATTCTCCTCTCTTCTGGGGCTCAGTTCTCTTCATTAGGCCCTCATTTGTTTCTCCTGAAGAAATCTTTATGTCCTCTTTTTGCAAATGGCTAGTTATATCTCAAAGGAGACATATTTTAGGGTTTGGGGAAATGAAAAATCTAGATAGCCATCAAATTACAGGGGAGGGGAGTCTAACATAACATAGAGATTATTTCTCTAATTGCTTTTATTCAGAATTCCCTCAATAATGTTTTAGAAATTAGTTTGGAATGTAGTCATTCTGATATATTTATAGAAAGGTGTTCGTATCTGTATTTGGCTCTACTTAGCATCAATTAGTATTCAACACTACTGATAGCAATGTATGCCCAGAAAAGCAAAATAAAAATATTAAGATTTGATGGTACAGCTCAGTGGTAGGATATGTGCTTAGCATGCACAAGGCCCTTGATTCGGTCTCCAACGCAGAATGAAAACGTTAGAATTCATTTTAAAATAATAGAAAATCTGACTCCACATTTTACAAGTGTATAATGTTAAATGATTTAGTATTTATGACAAAATGATGATCAAGCTAGCAGAAAATATCTGCTATTGAGTTTTACTTCCCACCATGGCTAGAATTTTTTCCTACAGCTCTCTGGAATTTTTGCTTTGCCACCTTCCCTTTTCTCTACATATGCCCTCACTCCTTGGTGTCCTTGTAAGCTATTATTGTTTTATCTGTAATCTGTTCCCATGGGCCTATTACCCTGGAACATGGCCCTCAGAAAGGCTAGACCAGACTCTGGTCACAGATGATGCTCCCTTCAGGGGCAGACAAAACGTCAGGTTTTAGTTTACTTTCTCATGCCTTATTTACTTCATAACTATATTTGTTTAGCAAATATAAAAAAGATTCTATTAATTTTCCATATTTACCCAATTCTCATACTTAAAGAACCAAATTTGCTTTATGTTATCGTCTGTGGTACTATTCAGTATTTCAATGTTCTCTAAAAGCCATGATGTTTATGTGTTATCAAGTTGGTGCCATCCCCTAAATATTAGTGAAAGACAGGGTAGGAAACAAAAGACTCAGAGATGTTGTACAAAGGGGAGACAAGTGTTTGGTTAAAAGGAAGTGATGGAAACCCTTAATCTTAGGAGAACAATAGCTCTCTGCTTTCCCTGCAGAGATTTAGATTAGGAGAAGGAGGGGTTTCTCTTAATTCTTCATTTTTGCTGTTGAAGCTCAGATTTCAAAATCTGAGGGAAAAAGGGGTAAGCAAACGAAAACAAGTGTGCTTTGAAATCCCGGCCTCCAGCTGCCTTCACCACCCGTTCATTCCAGGGACTCAATAAATACCAATTTTCTCACTATTAATTTTGAAACATGGCATTAGTAAGAGAAATAAATCTCTACTGAGTAAAGTGATTGTTATTTATGAAGCAATCACTGAAAGAGTAAAATTTTCCACCGCAAAAGAAAACAACTACAGGTAGCATAGATGTTTGTTTATTCTTTCCAGTAAAAGAGTACATGACTTAAACTCCCCAAATCTGTTTAATGTTTTCAGTGAAGGGCATGTAATTAATCTGAAAAGCTAGTTAGGTTGAGTAGAAACTACCAAATGTACACCGTAAATATAGTGGGAGCAAACATGTTAAATTATGCTATTTAATTGGATTGTAAATATGATTTATAAATCAACCAACATATGGAATCCCCAGAGAAAAATAAACAAATTTTCCAAATGAAACCCTAGCAATAGGCATGTAATAGAAATCTCATTTTTGAAAATGACTTTACCTAAATATTTCATAAATAAGACTTCAACCCATCAACTCCTTTTTCACATATGTCTTCCAAGAAAGCCACGAGAACTCGTTTCCTAGGAAAGACCACTGTCAGGTTCTTCCCCACAGCAAACAGTCATCTCTCTTCTACTTAATTTTGAAAATGATATTTATTAATACAAAGTAAAACAGATCAGTTGCATACCGTAGAGAAAGCAAGTCCTCCTTGTCGAGTAGTCTAGAGAAAGACAGTCTTTATCTCATGGACATTAAAGGAAATGCATCTAGAAAAATACTTAGGATGGAATGTAGTTCTAGTTAAGAGTAACACGGAGGAATCAAAGTCTGAGTTTGTTCTAAAATGTTACCAAGGTAAGTTTGACAAATAAAAATACTTTTATGACTATGCTGTGAAGCTGTATTGACAGAAAGCTAGATTACCAAGTGTTTGTGGCCAAATACTTGCCTTAATCATCTAGTCTGCCCACAAAATGGGACTGTCAGAGCCATTTCATAAACAAGTCACTTTAAGTTTGTGAAAGGAAAACATGTGATTCTCTTGCTTGGAGAACAAAACCAAAAGCTAGGCCCCTTTATCACGGAGCAAGCATTACACTTTGAGTAAGCTAAATGAATGAAGCTGTTAGCAAAGTAAATAAAAGTTCTGGGGTCGGAGAGATGGCTCAGCAGTTAAGAGCACTGACTGCTCTTGTAGAGGACCCAGGTTCGATTCCCAGAACCCACATAATGGCTATGAACCGTCCTTAACTCCAGTTCCAGGGGAATCCGAAGCCCTCTTCTGACCTCTGTGCACACGGGTGCACTCACATACATGCAGACAATACACTCATACACATAAAAAAATTACTAATAATTTTTTTTTTGTCTTTTTGAAGCAGAGTCTCCCTTTAGCCCCAGCTGTCCTGGAACTCACTATGTAGACCAGGCTGGCCTTGAACTCACAGAGATCCACCTGCCTCTGCCTCCCAAGTGCCGGGACTATAGGCGTGCACCACCGCACCTGGCTAAAGTATTTTTTAAGTTCTAACCTAGCTATTTAATTATTTAATTTATGGGAAGTGTCCCTTCCCCTCTAAGAAAATGGAAATGCATTAGTATTCAAACATTTGTGACAATGAAAAACAAACTGGTATGACAACTGTCAGGCAATCTGCTAAAGACTATTTTTCAAATTCTGGGAATTGTCTACTCAACAGTTTTCTTTCTTGAAGAAAATGCAAATAACAGTGCAGAGTCAGATCCTCTACTCAGAGTCTGTCAACCACTCATCAAATCTAGCTGGTCTTTCCCTGCTACTAATGTGAGTTTACCTTGGCTTTATAATAAAGTAGAGTTGGCCACAAATAGTACTGGGCTTCACCTATATTTTCAATCTCAATTTCATTTAAAAAATTCAAGTCTGAAAATAAGCAGAGTTCTGTGGAATTATTTTTCTGAAATCATTTTTCTCACTACTATTCTTCCTTTCTTTATTCATTATGACCTGGCAAAACAAATCTGATAAGAAGAAATGACAGTTATAAATGAGGCCCCAGCATTCATCCAGGAGGACCTTTTAGTTCTCACATTGCAGATCTGAATGTCTCTAGGTAATGGAAAGTTATTATAGTATTTATTGTTTTCTAAATTTAGTTTCTAAAATGTTATTAAAAATTGATATAGACTCGTGTTTTAGCTTTAAAGTTTTATTTTGCATTCAATTGACACATAATAATTGTACCTATTTATGGGGTGCAATATATGTTAGTTTCTACACATGTACACGTTGTGTAATGATCAAATAGTTTCGCACCTCAGTCACTTTAAACATCATCAACCTACGAATAGCATATTTAGAATCCCCTTCGCTAGTTATCCTGAACTAGAATGTTTTAATTACCTTTTGGTACTATTTTATGTGGCACATTTTACTGATATATAATTATTTATTTTGTTTTAAAATATTGATTAAAAGTTGATCAGATCAGAACATGTTTTTATAATAATAAATATGATGAATTTCAAAGACTATTGGCATTTGCCTAAAATTTCACTCTCTATAAAATTATAAAGTTAACTGTATTTGCTGTGAAGAAAATTAAGAAAGTACTCTCTCTTAATGAGAATACTTCCAAAGAGTAGGTTTTTAACATTTTTGCATTTATTTATTTTTTAATCATCACACAGTTTTAAAATACTACACTAGAAAATTATATTCAAGATTCTGACATAGTATCATCCTTTTAAAAAATGTACAAATGGACATGCTTTAAGAGAATTTCAGATTAATTTATATCTTTAAATTCAACTATTTGGCAATTTAATTGTGAACTTTTTAGTGCAAGTATTTATAGACTATTCTTTATTTCTGACATTTCACTTTATAACCAATGTCGTATTAAATTTATTGTCTGCGTTGACTTTTCAGCACCAAAATGAAGATACTGGAACCTTATGAATCTACAATTCAGATTACTTCAGATTACCAAATAAACAATATATTTTTCTATGGAAACATGCATATTTTAGGAAAAAATTTTAAGAACTGTATATTTATTTATGAACAGTTTGAGCAGATTCAGGTATTAATTCACTAAGTTCTGTGTAACTTAGTATAGTTCAACTCCTATGTATGTCTATTTAATGTTCTTTTTTCATTTGATCACATTGTCAAGATTTATGCTTTCAACATAAGAGAACAAAACATCAAGAGCAAGAAAACATTGTTACCCTTCACAATTGGATAAGAGTTAGGATTTCTTGCCCAATATTAAATGTAGTTGAAAAACCTAAAATAAATAAATATTTTTCCTTACAGTTAGGCAACAAAGACTTCTGAGTAATATTAAATATGAATTATAGCATAATGTTAATGTGTAAGATAAAATTGAATATTCTAAAGTAATTTCAAAAGCAAAGAACAGGTATGTATATCGTTGAAATGTGCCCACAGTTCTAATTAGTAGGAGTCAGTCTTCTTTGCAGTTTAAGCTGAAAAGAAAAACTAGATTATGGTCATCAGTAGTATATGCATAACCAGTTGCCAGTCTTCCCTTTGGTCATTTACAGGTGTCTTCCAAAATATGGCTCTATTCTCTATAATTCTGAGCCCTCAATTTCCCCCTGTATGCACTAAGATGAAACTGGTTTTGCATAACACACTATTTAATTACAACTGTAAATGTCCAAAAGTATTATGGGCAATTTTTTTTCAGTGTTTCTTAGTCAAAAACTTTCAAGTTTTGTTAATTGTCCAGTGGAGCAAATGCTACCTGAGAATATTCTGATAACACTTTGGGGAAAAAATATTGTGAAATAAAGCTAGCTTTTGGATACTGGTAAGAGAAATGCATACAAGCAACACCTTGTGCATTTTTGTGACTACATGTTACTATGGAATTTTGCCCTTAAAGAGATAAAGATCTCTACAGTGAAATGTTTGTCTTCTTAGCATATTTTCATCACTTAAGCACTATTTTGATCATCATAATAAGAGTACCCATTAATTTGTCTTGTCTAGAAACTTTTCAGGTTTTGAAATTTTGTACCATTTAAATTATCAACCTGCAGGGCAGTGCGTAACATTGCAAGTAGGAATTTTCAAATATTAATTTGACATAAATTGCTTTTATTCTGGGAGAAAGAAATTTATTCTCCTAAGTATTTTAAAGCAGTATTTATTTGGTCACTTTTCCCCTTAAATTACTTGTTTTTATAAAACTAATAATTTAAAATTCAATGTGATTGATTTTGGGGGTGGGGGATTGAGACAGGGTCTCTAGGTAGCCCCAGCTGGCCTGGAAATTGCTATGCAAATCAGGCTGGCCTTAATCTTACAGAGATCTGCCTGCCTCTTCCTCCTGAGTGCTGGGACTAAAGACCTGTGCCACCATTCCTGGTTCAGTGTGATTGTTTTTGTTTTTGTTTTTTCAATCCTCAGAAACAGCAAATTACTTGAGATGATGTTTACTTTGCTTTAAATAAACTGTCAGTTTAGTTTTGAAGCATGTTATAAATTAATCACTTCTAAACAAGCTTCACTGACCAATACATAATTCTAGAGAGAAAAAGGTGAAAATGATTGTAAAGGATCTTTGGATGATGAGATTGAACAAACTAGGTTCATCAACTACATATGGACATTGAAGTTTATTTTCAACTAACCTTCACAATGTGATTCCAGGAAATGACGACCTAATAAAAGCACAGAGCGTCTATGAAATCCTTGCTGTCATTCTTGGTTCTTTATGTACACTTCCTATTGTTTGTCACAAATGCTTTAAAAAAAAAACCTAAGAATTCTCTAAACAAAGTGTACTCTTAAGAATATCACTTGTTTTTAAAAGTCAATCTCTGCCATTTATAATCACAGGGAATATTTAATTAATGCTTATTACTAAGTGCCATATTAGTGGACTGTCTCTTTTGACGCTATCTCTGTGGTGCCAGAAGGCTGGATTTCTAACCATTGCACACCCTGCCTCTCTTTGTGAGCTGAGAATAATAAGCAGGTCTGTTGGTGAAACTAGCAAACTTGCTTCTAATACCTCACTGGCATTTTTAGTAGAAACAGACCAAGGAAAGTGACTCTCTTTCCTTGCTGTTTTCTGTGATATTTGCGGTGGGAGAGCTACTAAAGCGTATTCTTGCTTCCACAAAAACTGGGAGGGAAGAGGCAGTGGAAATGTCGTTTGTTACAGAAAATAATGACTAGGATGTTCCTCAATGGGTAAGAATAATAAGTTCCACTAAATATCAAAGATGATTGTGACAAGTAAAACATGAAAAGTTTTAAGACTTCGGAATAAGTCGAAAACTAGGTATCTTGAGGCTCTGGCACTGAAGTATGGGATGAAGACATTTACAAGTATCAAGTCTATTCAGGGAGCGTCTTTCACGGCCTTCAAGTCTGGAATTTCAGAGTTCTGAACTCTTGACTCTGCATAGTGATGAATTTGGGCTCAGACTTTTGTTGTGGTAGTTGCTTAGCTTTTCTCAGGAAAAAAAAAAAGAAAGAAACTCGAGTGTTTTAGATTTTCTTTCAGAGCAGGGGAGGGACGAAGGGAGGGAAAGAAAAATTAAACGGTCCACAGCCAGTCCGTATAATTTGAGGTTTTCTCACTAACCTCCCTAGGGAAATTACAATGTGACCTTTAATCGGGAAATGTTAACTTTATTACGTTTATCTGGTTGCCCCTCTTCCATCCTCGCCGGACAAGCTGGCCTCTGGAAACACGGCATGGGACCTGTCCTGTGCTGGGGCCCCGGAGCTTCAGGACCTGAAAGCTTGCGGTCTCCCGGCCTGCAGGCCCCTAGCGCGGGCGCTGCTCTGGAAAGCCAAGGCCGCAAGGCTGGGCCTGGCAGAATCGGTCTTTGGTTAACTTAGCGAGCCGGCCAGACGCCACACAGGCCCGGGGGCCGCATCCCACGGCCGCGCCTCCAGCATCACCGCTCCAGATGCCGCGCGCGCCCTAGAGGGCACCGGCACCCTCAATGGAGTCCGGGCTTCAACTCCACCTCGATGGCCCGGCCTCGGTCCAGACTCAGCCAAGCCCGGTTCCAGGTCCCGTCTGCACCTGGTCATAGCCTGGGCTCCTCTGGGTGGGCCCTGTGCACCCCATCTCGCCCCCACAGCCCCACGACCCACCTGGCCAAGCCCTCTCCTCCTCACCTGACCGAACTTGGCTTCCTGCTCCAAGGCTCCCTTCTCCAGCCCGTTCACTGCGTGCGGGGCAGCGGCCGGGAAGTTGTTGCGGCCGAGGCTGCTCCACTCCTCCACCTTGGGGCTGTGGTAGGGGGAGCTGTCGCTCACTGGTAGGCGGAAAGAAGATATATATCAAACTCGGGGCCTAACGTGGAGCCCCCTCCTGAGACGCGACCGGAATCAATGACCGCGGTGCTCCGGGGCTAAGACCTCAGGTCGGGCCCCCTGCGCTAGGCCTCCTAGGGGCGCTGGGCCCAGGCGCAGACTCCTGGGCTTCAAGCCTAGGGACCTGAAGTTTTGTTGGCCTGAAAGTAGGCCTCTGAGTTAAGTTTCACCCACGCTCGAAGGAAGATTTTTCTTTCTTTCTCAACCAGCCTTTGGTTTCCTTTCTCCCTTCTTGGTCTCCCAGGGAAAGGAATGGAAGAAACCTGAGAATTTTCCCAAATGGAAGAAAGAACCAGAACCTCTGAGGTTGGATATCTGTTCCTTACTTCTATAAAACTGACGCCAGCCCTTACAGGGTGGAAAAGATCTGGTGCTGCAGAAGGCTGAGGAGAGAGAAGTGTCCTGACCTAAGGTCTTCCTTGGTACTCAAAGATATCCAGAAAAATTGTTAACTGCATTGTGCAGATCTGGTACTTACCTCAATAGAACAAAAGAACTGTAAAAATCCTTTGGAAACAAATAACTAAACGATGACCAAGATACACATGCAAAATATGTGTACACAAATTCACCTTGTGTTTTGCATGAGACTATCCTACATGCTCTGCCTTTATACATTAACTGAGTAAGGTTATATGCATATTACTAAAAATATAAATAAATAAAGCCCATCATCACCTCTTTGAATATCATGGGTATCAGTGGTAGGGTTATAGAGAAAAGGATTTCTTAAGTGTAAGAAAGAGAAAATGAAATTATGGGCCAAGAAAATGAAAGTAGAATTCAGCGTTAAGGAGAGAAACCATCTGCTGCTCCTTCTGTCCTTAAAGAGACACAAAATTAGAGTAAGGTGACTGCCATGATGCCTGTGGTTGCACATTGGCATCTTCAAATGACCAAACCCACTTTAAAGAGGAGATATTTGAAGGTAAAATGTGTTGTAAGTTTGTTTCTGGTCTCTGTGTGTACAAGTTTGACAGTGTCACTATAACTTGATTTTAAACACTTCATCTGTCACAGTGTTTCAAAGGAGCGATCGTTTGGAGAAATTATTTGACAGTCACAGATTTGTCAGAAACCAGGTTGTTTAAACCTAACATCCAGAATGAGCAACAGTATCTTCGAGGAACCTGGCTCCATGATCCAGCACTCTCCTAACTGACCTTTGGTCTGAGAGCAGTATCCCTGAAGAAGAGCCTTCTTTTCAACTGCCAGCCCCTTTCACTATGCCTTCCTTCCACCTCAGGAGAAATAGATTGTATCCTTATTTTCACACAGGAAACCATGGTTGGTCCCGAACTGCTGATGATCTTTGCCTTCCCAGACAAAAGGCAGTCACTGAGCACAAGCCAGAAGTTATCTTAAGAAACTGAGATCCCCCCATGAGCCCCCATTTCTGCTGATCTCACACTTTCCCATGAACAGGGGCTTCCTTTAAATGTCAGTGAGGTCAGTTTATCCTATAAATCAAGGTCAATTCTCTCCAACTTAAGTTCCAGCTAGCTCCAAGTAAGACAAAACTAGACTCATAAATTCGCAGTCAAAAAACAAGAAGGTGGGGCTGGAGAGATGGCTCAGCAGTTAAGAGCACTGATTGCTCTTGTAGAGGACCTGGGTTTGATTCCCAGAACCTACATGGTAGCTACAAACCGTCCTTAAGTTCCAAGGGAATCTGAAGCCCTCTTCTGACCTCTGTGGCATTGCATGACATGGGTGCACTCACATACATGCAGACAATACACTCATACACATAAAATAATAAAAAAAAATTTTAAAAACCAAGAAGATGAGAAGTCACAGCCCTCCTTTAAGGACCTAAAAAGGTAATTGTGGCAACGTGGTAGCAACTGCAAAAGGCAGGAAATAATTAAAGGGGCTATTTTCTCCTTTTCTATTTAAGTTTTACTCTACACATCTTCAACTTTACAATGAAAAATTAGGACAGAAGGTTCTAATGCACTAAGTCCTGCATCTACAGCATTTCTTATTTCTGATGCCTTTAAATTTGTATTTTTAATAGCACAGTTAAAGAAAACAAACTCTGGTCTCCTGCGGGCTGGGGGGTGAGGGGTGCGGGAGCGGGAATTGTTTTGAGCACTCAGTGAAGACGTCCTGGACTCAAGAGAAGTTTAGGCTGAGAAAGGAAAAGAACTGTGAAATGACAGAGCTGAAAACGTGCAGGAACTAGATACACTAGACACATGCCCGCTTGTACTTCCCGGAGCCAGAAGACTGAGGAAAGCAGCAGGCTGGGGAAAACCAGACACGCAGTGGAAAGGGCAGCCTCAAACCCTCCAGTATTTTGTCAGTAGAGAGAGAGAGAGAGAGAGAGAGAGAGAGAGAGAGAGAGAGAACCAGGACCTCCCGTTTCCGAGGAAAATGAAGTGAAGCATAAGAATGAAACCAATTAGGTGACATTTGAACTTCCTGCCTGAGCAAATATGGCCTGATTGCCAGAATCCGAGAATAATATTACAATTTCCACAGCGCGCGGGACTCTAGCTGCCGCATCTGATCCCCAAGCTAGTGGCCGGCTGCGGCGTCTGCAGCCCGAAGACCCAGGCTGGCTCCGGCCTCCCGGGCTGAGCAGGGAGTCAGCGGGCCGCGCTCTCCAAGCAAAGGGGTGGAGAGGCGGGGGAGGGTGGAAAATGCGAACCATGTGTTGAGGATGGGGGATGCTATGGGTCTGGTAGTTTGAGATGAGGCTGGAGACTGTGGGTGGCAAGGAAACAGAGGGCAGGAGTTTTAAGTTAATGAGATCAGGACACCCGTGGGAAGAATCTTTAGGTTTCTAAAAGAAAAAGCGCGCGAACGGGCACTGCTTAGCATTCTGCCAGACCTCTGGGCCCCTACCTTGGTCGGTGATGGAGCGGATGCCCAGGATGTCGGTGACGGAGTGAGAGGAAGGCCAGGTACGCGGCATGGCCACCGAACCCGGGATGGCCGGCACCCCAGGTGGCGTGGGCACCTTAGCGGCCGCGGTGATGGGACTGGGGTACGAGTAGATGTGGTTGTAGGGCAGCGCAGGCTGCGGCGCCGGCTGATGCTGCTTGTAGGAGTCGTAATGACCCTGCTGGGCCAAGTTGCCGATCTTGTTGCGCAGAATGCGGCTGATGGAACTCACCGAGGGCACGTTGTACTTGTCGCAAACGCCGTCGGCCAGCAGGCGGTCCCGGATCTCCCAGGCGAAGATGCCGGGGTCCCTCTGCTTATAAGTCCGGATGTGTTTCACCACAGTAGGGGTAGTGACCCGGGGCTTGCTGCCCCCGATGGCTCCAGGCAAAATCGAGCCGGTCTCGTTGTAGCGTGCCAGGATCTTGCTGACGCAGCCGTGCGACACCCGTAGCTGGCGGCTGATGTCACAAGGTCTGATGCCCAGTTGGGCTAGTTCCACGATGCGAAGCCGGATGGCGTTGGGCAGTGGCCTTCCGTTCACGAACACTCCTCCCAGCTGGTTCACCTCCCCGAAGGCTGGCTCTGCAAGAGGAGCACAGAGCGCGCAAGGACGCGCACCCGCTGCTTGGGACAGCTGCTGTCCCTCTGCCTCCCCCAGAGTCCGGGGACAGAGCTGCGGCACCCTCCTTAAGGACCCGGACTGTCCAGAAACTAGACGGTCGCGGAACGGTGCCGATCCACCCAAAACAAGTGTGAACCTCGTTCCTGCCCCAGCAGCTCCGGGTACAATCTGAGAGCTGGCCCGGAATATTTAAAAGTCTGTGAAGCAGGCGGGGACCGGTCCTGACGCCCAGGCGCCGCTCCTAGCCTGCTCCGCACTTAGTGCATGGGCAGCTGCTCCCTTCCACCACCTCACCCCAGAACCGCTCCTGGAGGGCATCGAGGTTTGACGAAGTCGAGGGAATGCTGGTTTTTTGTTTTGTTTTTTGTTTTGTTTGCATATGTAACGTGTGAAAAAAAAAAACTTGAATGGACACTGGGGCTGCGGAACTCGTGCATGCCTCTGCTCTCTTATAATCGGAGGATGCCATCAACGCCGCCCAGTAGCCTGAGATCAGACTGAACGGGGGCGCGCAGCTGACTCTCTGCAAGTTCCTACAACTTGTAGGAACTCGAGCAAAGTCAATAAGGAGAGTGTGAGCGCGCTAGCGCTCCCTCCCTCCCTCCCCGCCCGCCGCTCCCTCCCTCCCCTCCTTGGTTCTGACAGCGTCCGCAGTCTCCACTCACCCATTGCTCTGAGCAGTACACCGAGAGGGCCCCAGTTCCGCACTCCGGGAAAGAAACTTTTCTCGAAGTCTGACTGGCTGGGCCTGTCGCTGCTCCTGGCTGCTGGTGCCTCGGCTTCTCCCCAGGAGGAGGCGACGACAGTGCAAAAGGAAGAAGTAAAAGGAAGTCTGTGCCCGGCTGAAAGAGGCTTGAGTTCTGCATTTCAATCTAGGCAGCAACGTGGGCTGGGCTGGGCTGAGCCGGCCCGGCGGCTCCGTCTATCACTCACTAGAGACACACCCCAAAAGAGGTGGGTCGGAGGGCGAGCTGCGTTGTAATTGGTGCAGGTCAGTGAGTGACAACGCAGTTCGGGGAAACTCCTTCCGCTGTCTTTTTCAGGCTGGCTCCGCACCTGGGTGACTAAATGCAACGAATATGAGCGTTTGACATCTTCCCGGGCGCGACACAAACATACAGCAAAATCAAGCTGGTAAAAACGCTGAATAAGCGAATGAAAGCGTTTGGTTCAGTATGATTGACTGGAAGCGGGAGGGCCCGTGGGGGCATCTTGGAAAAGAGATGAGCTTCTCAGAATTGAAATTTCAGATTAAGTATCTAACGTAGCAGTCGGCCGTCATCGTGGTGGGAGCTTCGGGGGCACGAGGGTGTCTGAGAATTACCTGCCATGTGCGCCCTCGGGGACTGTCATGAAGGAAATCCTTGCCCACAAATTCTACCTCCCATCAGTGTTTTCCAAGTGGGGTGAGCTCAGGTGTGAGAAGACAGGCCTATCTGAGAGACCCGGAGGTCAAGGAGAGTCCGGGCTTGAGAGATACTGGACGAGGAGACCCCGCTTGCAGGGAGCGGCTCACACCGGTCCCTCAATGGTTAGCCAGGAACGCCGGGATAACTCTCAGCCACCCAGGATTCTGGCAGAGGTTGTGTGCTGTATGCAGAATTACTATGGCTAAAGCGAGTTCGCCACCACCCTCAGAATGATCGTTTGTCGGTGGAACCACGGTGGCAGAAGCCAGCCCTCCTTCTCACACAGGGCTCAGGGCCGTGCGTTCTCAGTGTTTGCTAGGGTACTCAACAGCAGTGAGCCATCGAGAAAGGATTTGTTGATTTTTGCTTCTTAATATGAAAGACAGCTCCAGGAAGGTACAGGCAGGGACTGCATTTGTGGATAAGTATGTAATTCCGACCCCCCCCACTCCCAGCTTCATTTTAGCTACAGAATTTCCTATCGTCCTGCCACTAGTGAATTTTCACTTGTGATCACCCTAAGTCCAAAGTGGATAGTACACTTTTGGGTAGAGAAATTTGTTTATATTTGGAATAAAGATTGTGAAGGATGTGAAAAAAATAAGTCGGGGAACACTTTTGATGAATTTGGGAGTTTGTGTTACTTCTGAAAGAAGATTATAATTCTACTTTACCATCAAAAGTGCTCCCTTTGTACATACCAGAGGGACGAGTGCCTTCAGATTTGCACACAAGGAAGTCAGATGGTCCCAAATGACTTGCCAGGAAGTGACAAAAGCTTGAAAAGCTGATCATCAGCTGTTCTGCAAATGAACACCCCATCTTCAGGCGCCTGCTGCTACTGTGTGGGGATGCACTCTGAATTGGAATTTACTAAGATTGTGAAGGATTTTAAAAATAAATTTAAATGCCTTTGGTTATCCTCAAGAATTTTGCCCTTTCATAACTAGAAATATTGGAATTTAGTTCCTTTTTGGTTGTTGATTTAAAGCCTTTTCCAAGTTTGACTTGTGATTTTACCCTGGTCTCCCCTAACAATACTTGTGTGGCACAGACTGATGCTTTACAACAAGAAGAGCCTTGGGGATCCAAGGTTTCAGAAGACGCATCTCTTTTGAGCGAAAATAAATTAATTACTTGAGACCTTGAGGCAGAGCAGATTTAAACTTTGCCTGTTTTTTTTGTTTTTTGTTTTTTTTTTTTTTTACAAAAAGGGATGACCATGCTCTGCAGCTAGGAACTCATTCAAGTAGCGTCCTCAACTCATGCTCTTTGCCCTCCTTCAGGGCACCAGGTAAGTGTTTCATGCCCTTCTGTATTGATATGTAAGAAAAGTGTGTTCAGCCTGTGGCCTGACAAGACCTGGTATCCTAATGAGAATCTAGCTGACCCAGAGTGACCAAGAGACCCATAGGGCTCAGCACTCTGGCTTGGAGATTTAACACACAGCATCCTCTTATCCACTGCCAACTCTGTCAGCTGTCACATATCTCTGTCTCTCTTGCAAAGGTCCACTGCCATCTATAGATTTCTACCTGCTGGATTTGGCTGTTGGTGGCATGCGGTCTTAGCTGCTGTAATCTCTCTGGACATGCTCACGCAACATTTCACTGGGCATTGGTCCCCACCTAAGTATCCCTCAGGACCACCTCACAATACATACCCAGAAGCACCCAGTGAATCAATCTTGCCCACATTAGACCATTAAGCATCAGTGACAAATCAAAGTCTGCACTTAGGGGAATTAAGGAGCCCACAATGTGGGAGCAGAGGAGGGCCTGGCATCTCTAGGAAAAGGCTGGTGCTTAATCTTTTTAGTAGAAATTCTTCCAGTTTACAGTGTGTGAAGGCCAAGTCTCCAAAGATCCCCTGAGCCCAGGCAAAAAAAGACTACTGATCTGTGTGAGGGTGGAGGAGTGAGAGGGAGAAGGGATGGGAAGACCCAAAACAGGAATGGGAGGGGGGAGTGAAGAGGCACTAAGCTCCAGTGAACCCCAGTGGGCATAGGGATGTAAGACTTCAAGAGAGAGCAAGGGTCACCTGAGGTCAGTGCCCCTGGTTACTGCAGCTCTGGATCCAGGAGATCATACAGGAATCAAAAGAATTTCTAAAAAGGAGAAATTTAAGACCAAAACCAAAACATAATCAGTAAGGCCTGCAGCTGCTTGGCCAGGGAGAAGCCAAAAGCCTTTCCCTAGGCACTAAGGCCTCCTCCAGGGGCGACCCCTTCTCTAGGTAAATATTTACTCAGTATGGGCCTGGAAGCTGGAGGGCCAGAGGGTGTGAAACGGGAGGTAACACCGGGATTCTACACACTTGGCACTGGGCAGCCTCTAGTGGAGGAGAAGCCCAGAACTCCAGAGGCAGCTAGGCCCCCATCTCTGGGGAACTTTATCACTCTGCACGGTTTCCACTGACCCAGGCCTGATGTTTGTAAAGTCTTCATAAATCTGTCAGAGGTTCCAGTGTTGCTGTCCATCACCTGTGGCATGCCCCTTCGGACACTAGCAAAGAGAGATGCCTAGGAACTGTAATCTAGCTTTTCTAAGGCGTTCTGTAGGGACCCTGCAGATTGGCCCCCCACAGCTGACTATCTCAGAATACTGCCCTCCAGACTGTTAGGGACATGGTGAGATCCTTCTTGATCCCAGCCTGTTCTGAGGATAGCTTTTTGCAGGTCGGTGGTGATGGAGGATGGAAGGGTAGGGTGAGAGGGAGGTGTGTGAATGTGGAAGAGGCCCTCTGTTCTCAGTTACAGTTCTGATGAGCACAGCTGGCAGAGAACTTTTAGGAACTGAGCTCTGCAATGGGACCCCTGCTAGGAAACGGTCAAACCAAGGAAGGCCCAGGTGACCATGGCTGCTCTGGCTCACTGGGAGGACTGGGAGGCCTGGGAGGCAGCCAGGGTCCTAGCTCCAGGTCGGGGATTTTCAGGGTACAGTGAATTCTTCCAGTAGTCTTGCCGGGAAATGTTAGGCAAACTCCAGACTTCGAATCATCCGGTTGTCCCACACAACGCCACTGCCAGGTGAGTGCGGGGCTGTGCGTAGCTTAAAGAGAAAAAGACTCTTTGGGGCTCTCCCTAATCTAGGACCTCTACTAAGGCCCAGCTTGCTACCGGCGGCTCCTTAGTTGATTGAGCTTCTCAGAAAGTGTCAGGGCCACTGGCTGCGGAAAGCGCGCCTAAGTTGGCGCCCGCAGTCCTGTGCCTGGGAGTCGCGGGTAGTGGCTGCGGCTAAGGGAGACAACCATCCTGGGCTCTGGAGAAAGTCAGCACGCAGGGGGCCTCAGCCTGGGCCGGGGTTAGGGTAGAAGGGCATGGTAGGCGCGTACACACTGACCTGCTGGTCTGGGCTGGGCGAGGCTGCAGATGCACCAGCGCTATGAGAAGACGCATGAGACCCCAGGTAGAGCCCCTGGAGTCGGGAGAGTTGCCTCCGGCTGTCTAGCCTTCCATCTGTTGAACTTCACTTTGCAGGAGCCGTTCCTCCTCTGCGCTGAGTAGCTCTGCAGAGCCTTGGACCCGAGCACAGAGACTTTCCCTGGGGTGCGCCGGGACCTGGCGGCCAAGAGCTGCGACTGCCAGGGTTGTGGGGTCTGCCGGTCGGGCTGCGAGCGCTCATCGCCCGCTTTCTCTTTCCTAGGACAGGGGAGGGGCCTGCTGTGGCCTGAAACCCACTTTTCATTCTCCGCCTGCCTGTTTCCGATCACCCAGGGTTGGTTTTTCTGTTTGCTCACTCCTTCTATTACAATAAAAACAATCGACATTTCTTTTCAGTTTCCCCATATTAGCGTCACTCAGTAATTGTTCTCCACCTCCAGGCCCCCTCCCGCGTTAAAGGAGAGCCGGATTGCGGCTATTCAGGCATTGGAAGGTTTCCGAGTGTATAAGCAAATCTTCCCTAAAGACTTTAAAGTAAAAATAAATAACGGCCCGGGAAATTGCTATGACCCTAACATCACTTTCTGAACACAAATTACACCCATTTTTCAGTTTTCAACGGTGGAATTGCTTTCAGAAGGACTGATCTGAGCCTCGTGTGGTACGATTACGTTTGTTTATTAAAGCCTCAAAGGAAAGGGAACATATTTTTGTTCGAGGAGCAAAACTCGTGGCTTCCGGACAGCAAGTGCAAGCGGGGATCGAATCCCGACTGAGGGGCAGAGATAGGAAGGAGTCTTGAGGGTAGGCCAGGCTGACCCTTTAGCCATCAGGAGGGGACTGCGCCTGGCCAAGGACACTGTTAGCAGAGGATTTACGAAGGCGAAGTCGCAGTCCGCGGTCAGGTAAAGATCTTGAGCCTCTGCGCTGAAAGCAGCAGCTGTGTGGGGGAGAAAAGCAGAACTCTGGGTTCCTAAAGCAAAGCTTTTTGCTGGCTTCCCCTCCGGGGTCTGTGCGAGGCAGAGCGCGGCCTCCTTGAAAGGCCAGATTGGCCTAAAGCTGTCAGGAAAGGAGAAACGAACCAGGCCGAGCCTCTAAGTCCTGGTTTTGAGTCAAGCACTTGTGAAGTTCAGGACAGGGCTGGGGGTTATTGTGGTCAAGTGTCGCTCAACACAGATTTTTTGGGAGGTCAGGGATGCCCTCAGCTGTGGGATCCAGAGGACGCCCTTCTTCTGTGTAGGACCCGGCTGTAGTTTGCTAGACCCATTTTTTG